TCCTAATCTGGACTCCCAGAAAGTCTGGACAAAATGGAGGTTGTCCCCCGTCCCCAGGTGAGTATCTTTGGCGGCAGAAGGGCCACTAGCTCCTTCAGATTTACATACAACTTTAAGACATTTAAATTATCTGCTAGGTCCCCTTATCTTTATATGTTTATAGCTTCCTTCAGATTGTCAAAGGGATTGTTGATGGCCAAAAGGTGAAAAAGTACTATTCTGAAGGATGGTCCGTCCCTCAGATCGGCTACTCTTCATTTAACCAGGTTAGTTAAACTCCATTACAACACAGGCTCAGTAATCAGAAGAAGATTTTTGGTCAGCAAATGTTAAGCTATAAACAGTTGTTTCAAACAGAATGTATTAAAAAATATTTAAGCTAGAATGTTAGAGAGCTAGAAAGACAACAAACTACAGACATAAATTACAAAAAAGAAAAAAAAAAAGTGGCAAGCCGGGCTGGGCCTCTCCAGGGTAATTGCTTGGAATGCAATCAGCCCCAAGAGGTAACAGCATTTTGTAGCAATCTGCTGACAGTGTAATATAACCAAAAAGTGTGGTTAAAGGGTGATTTCAAAATATATTCTTTATTCTGTGATTCCCAAAAATGTTCAGGATTATAAAAGCATCTCAAAAATACTACTGAAACAGAAAAAGAGTTTTATTTTTAGCACCATTTCAAAACTGGAAGCTAAATGGTGCCATTTGGGGACCAGTCCCTCCAAGTAAGGCGGTGCAGAAAGAAATGGAGCTCCAATGCATGCTGCACACTCCTGTCTCAGTTACTGTGATAGAGCTTTCCTGAGCTGATTCAATGCTTTTTTTAGGTTTTAAAAGTAAAGTGTAATATCAATTTTATCCACTTCATTAGCTAGAATTTCAGGTCATCTACATTTTGCTGCTAAGCTGCTAATATGTACATGTTATACTTAAAATAATACCTGTGTATATAATGTTGTGTTCAACTGTTTTAACTCACATAACTGTTTTATGTGGTTTTAGTTTGGTCTGAACACTGAAGGTCTATGATGTGTTAGCTGTACGATTTTTCCAGGGCACCAAAAACTCTTGTAAGGGAAACATCACAGGATTCTTAGAATTGCCATACAGTGGTAGGCAGGAGGTTTTTATGAGGGGCAGTTCAAATGCTTGGGGAAAAAAAAATACACACACACACACTAAGGGCAAACTGACCCATAATCCTGCCCTTGGGGACTTCATAGTTCAACTTGCAAAGGACCAGAAGGGTAAATGCCTATTATAGAGAGAACGCAATACCAGGGTGTTTTAAGTGAGCAACAAATCACACCCACTTGGGAGGCCGGGAAAGTAGTAGACTTTGAAAAGGCTACTCCTAAGAGGCCATTTGATATTAAGATAGGATTTAGATACCAAGAAGACATAGAAAGCATTTCAAAGAAGGAACCACATGAAAAACAGACACTAATTAGGGGAAGGGTTGAGAAATTACAGAGTTTGGCAAGCTCTGTGGTTCTCAGTCGCCCCCTACGCCCCAAACAAACCCCATATGATGGATGATGTTAACATATGCAAACACATTTCTAAGGGCTTACACAGATTTGGCTGGATGCCTGCCCCCTTCCCCAGATTTGCGGGCAAATAAAGCACCCAACAACTCTAACTGGCATGCCGCAAGCTCTTGTAACTATGTAAGCTCCTTCCTCTTGGGGATAGCATTTACAATTCTCCACTGAAGGGAGGAAGAAAAATGATTATTTTTTCACAATCTTGGGTATTTCAGTCCTAGTAACAACAGCTGGATGCAGGTTAAGTGGGAGCGGAGTTTGCACTCAGACTTCTCATTATTCAGTTATTACCATATTGGAATCCCTGCAGTTTGCTGACGTTGCAAAGTGAAGCAAAAATCACAAGAAATAACACGCTGGCGACTCTCTCCCAGATAAAAGTATTGTCAACATCATTTATGCTCAATCAAATAAAAGTTGTAGAAGCTCAAATCATAAGCAAAGCTTCTGATTGACCAAGGTCAGGCAGTTGAAACAGTTTAATAATTGGATTGAGAAATTTCCAATAAGGCATTTTGAAAGAAATTAAGTGGGAGAGGATTAATTTTTGCAAAAAATAACTTTATGATTGTGTAAAGTCAAGCATTAAACGCTTAGGCCTGTCCAAGATGCCATTCCACATTCTTTCAGAATAATTACACAGAAAAGCCACTTGAGTTATAATAAACAAGTAATTAGTATAGTTACATTTAATGGTCTTGGTTATAATCATAAAACTTTTAAAAATTTAATTTTTTTAAAGATATTTTGATCATTCCTTCTTTTGTACCACTTACGGTAAAATTTTGGTATCCACATCAAATGGATCTACTTTAAGTGAACTTTCCTTTGCTGACAATTATCCTCAGATAATGAAGACTTCCTGTAATTTGTTAATTATGGAAAGCCACTGAGTTTCCTTTCTTTTCTGGCAGATATGGGGTTGGGTGGGCAGAGAGGTAACTAACATTTTCCTGAAATTACGCTACTTGGTGATTTATAATCATTACATTTAGTTTGGGTTGTGAACGAATTACCCTTGGGAAGGTTAACTGGTTACAGCCATATAATAATGCGACCAGTAAAGAACCTCTTGCAATAGCCCAATCAAGAGATACCATAGGTTTGGCCTACGGTGGTAGCCCTGGCAAGGTAACAGACTTAATTCCTTGCATATGAGACTTTATTACTTGTCCTAAACCAGCGTCTAAGGAAGGGGTTTTCAAAGCTAATTTCAAGAAGATGTTCTCAAAGGACATTGGGGCATCAGGAGAAAGGGACTGTAGTACGGTGGTCAAATAGGGATACACGGGAGTTTGAGATGTTGGCATGATATCCAAGTGGATAAAACCAGCAGGTAGATGGAAGTATTAATTTAGAAGGATTAGTCATGTGGGATTCAGGGCAGGAAATGTTTTTCATTATTTAATTTAGAATTGCCCAATAAACCCCCTCCCCCACAATCATTTAGCTACTGATATTTTTAGGCATGCATGAGAAAAAGCAACTATTTCCATTGTTGTAAAGGTTTTATTGAAGAAACTTGAGAATAAACACTTCATGGCTAAGTGAAAAAAGACAAACATGGTGGCTAAAAAATAATCAAAGGGAATTTAGCTGTATCCATTCAAAATACCTGAGTATCTGTTTGTAATGTTGATTTGAGGCTAGTTAAATGTGTAACTAGTTAACTTAAAATCAACTGTAATACTAAAAAGTCACCGAACTCACTTCTAAAGTATACAGCCCAAATAAAAGACATCTGCAATAAATTCTGGCCCTGTAGTGTTTAAGTTTACAAACTTGGCTGCTTCTCTACAAATAACCAGTTCTGTATTAATGCTTTGCAGCTGCCTCAACCTCTACACTCAAGTTTCCTGGGCTGTTAACATATTACTCCTTCCAGAAGGACTATATTCCCAGTTTCTACTTTCTTCTGTACATCTATTAATTCCTATCTTCAACAGACAATAACCTTACCCTAATTCACCTCAGCAGTGCTAACATTTCCTTCAGCAGCACCCTGTTTATTTCTAGGTCAAATCAAGACAGACATTTAGAGTGATCTGGCTTTAGGTCTCTCTTAGATCTGGCATTCTGGCACGATTCTCCCAGCATATATGGAATATTGCTTCAGTTCCCCCTCAAAACAGAAAGGACTACATAATCCTGGATCTCAGAAGTACTTAAGAAAAACTACTGCCGCCCCTCCCCCAGCACACACTGCAACATTGTAATTTACCTCTGCTTTGGAAAATGTATCTTTAAAAACGATGCTCCCAACTAAACCACTTAGCCAGTAACATTTTTGAGAAAAACAAAACATGAAACTCTTTGGGGGAGGAGTTTCTAACTCCAAATAGGCAGAGGAGCCTGTAATTATCCTAATGAATACTCTTCCAAAGAGGCCTGTAGTCGGTGGGGTTCCCACCTCTTTCTAATCTAAAACTGCTTAGACGGACCAGAGAGTGTGCAGTTTTAACAAGATACCTAAAATGTGTGCCCTTAGACGTGACGGGGACAAGCCCAAGGCAAGTTACTCAGCAGCTAGAACCTGATTCTTCTGAAGAAACAAACAGAAGTGAACTTTTAAAATATTCTATTGTCTGGTCGCCATCTGATACATCATCACGGAAGGAATAAGGAAAATAACAGAGTGATGGAGAAAAGAGGGAAAAAGAATGATACTGCAAATTTCACTAGGCTAGAACTCTCCCAGTCTTATGATTCCAGCATGGCCCGGCTACTGATACAATCTGGCTGTATTTTTCCAGGCTGCTACTTTGGCAGGGCTGCGATAAATGAATTTCACGCTCAAAGGAGTCACCTCTCCCCTTTTTGTCGGTTTCCCCCCAATTTCTCTCTCCCTTCTACCTTCAAAGTCGAACTCCCCAGGAGCGGACCGACAGGATTCTCTCCCTCTCACAATCCTCCTCCACGAACGAAGAGGTGCCATTCCCCCCTTTGCAGATGCTTCAACCACTGCACTCCCATGAACAGGTAACTGCGGTGTTTCCTGCTTTCTCTACTCCGAAGAGCCCAAGCTCTTCTACACCAGTCTCTGGTTTTCTCTAAACTGGCCCTCCTTTCCGCCCCCTCGCTTTCCGGGACTCGAGCCCAGTCCGCAGACTGGGACACGCGCGCGCGGCTGCCCGCACGCACCAGCTGTGCTCGCTCGCTCCCTCCCTCATCCCCAAAGAGGGGATTGTACATGATTGGCCCGCGCCCAGTTACCTACTCCAAGGTGTGGGGTGAAGGGGAGGGTACTCCTTTGGGGAGGGGGACGAGAGAAGAAAGCACGAATCCGAGGCAGCAATCTCAGAAGACCGGGTGCTACTGCTTCAGGCACAGCCGCACCTCGCGGTGATAAGAGGATGTGCACTCGGCCGCTCCCGGCACCCGTAGAATCCCCCGCCCGTAACCTCGCCGGAAATAATTACCTTCCGGGGCGGTGCGCGTCTTAGAAGCCCCTTCTTAACACTTCCGGAATTCCTTTTCCGGGACGCGAACGCTTTGTGTGTGTTTGTGCGTGTGTGCGTGCATGAGTCAATACTAAAAGGAGTCCCTGCGATTCTCCTCGCTCTCTTTTCTGCTACCACCTCCTTACTTTATGGACCGGAAGAGTCCTTGAGCCAAAATAGCTCGGCGGGTACTTCCGGGACGGGAGACCTGGGTTCCGGGAGGGTGCTGGAAGGAGAGGGAGAGGCGGCGGCGGCGGCGGCAGCTGGAGGATGAAGAAGGAGCATGTGCTGCACTGTCAGTTCTCCGCCTGGTATCCACTGTTCCGAAGCCTTACCATCAAGAGGTAAGACAGGAGGGATTTTGTCGGGGCGATAGGCAAAAGGGAACTGCGACATTTTGGGCGAGTCCTAGCTCCATCCAAAAAAAAAAAAAAAAAAATATATTAAATAAATAAATACAAAAATGCAGGCCTTACAGCGATTGGATGGGAGCGCCAGTGCCGAGATTTCGACTTCCTAGTGGTATTTCAGTGGGGGTGGGGGGAATTAATGAAGTCGATCCTTGTTTTCTGTGCCTCGTTGCGTTCAGGGGGTGTGCTAAGGGAGGCAGAAGGGCATGTCGTGGTTCAGTGAAGGTCAGAGGCGGGGTGCCTGGGGGATTAAGCTAGTTCAAGGCTTGGGGGTTCACCATCACTGCTTTTAGAATTGCCAGAGAGGGGACGTGATCAGGAGAACTGGGTAGTCTGGACTTTTGCCACTGACCCCGGTGGACTTAATTGCTTTCAGTCGCTGTGAAATAACAGTGATAGAGACCCTACCTGAAATCCTGTTGCGAAGCTCCCATAAGACAGTGTGCATGGAAAGCGTTAGTGTAGTTATATATTGTTAGGGTTGGTAACGTACTGTGAGAGGAAGCCATTCCTGGAAAAGGAGTAGAACAGTATTTGTTTTCTATTTCTCTGGCCTACAACAGGGAATCCGTCCCTGGTTTGCAGGTCAAACAGAGGAGTAACTGTTTCATCCTTCACGGGGTCATTCAAGGTAATAGAGGCAAGGCAGCTAGGAGAATACCCCCAAATGTTCAACAGCAATCATAACATCTGGAGAATGATGAAGGAGGAGGCTTTCGCTCACTAAGAGGGATAAATCAAAGAACCGCATATTCATGAACAGGATGTTCTGTATTTTGCCCGGTCACCCTTTAGGCCTAGATTATCACGTATTTAGGTATCAACTGTCCTTTTCTCATTTTGTCCTCTTGGTGCAGGGTGTGAATATAGAGAGGGAAATGGTTTTGAAATCCTGAGGGATTGGAAGAGCATAAGGAGATTATTCAGAGTGCAGTTCTTTTCCATCCTGTTAATTCATACATAGAATCTGCTTTTAGTTGGAGGTTAGAGCAGCTCAAAGGAAGATAAATCATCCTTGCATTTGAAGGTGGTTGAAGTCACACCAAAATAAAAGGAAGAGCTTCAACAGCAGCAGTGGACAGTACATCCTAGCGTAGAAGTTATCTTCCCTTAGGATATGCCAGTCTTCGTTACCTTGTGTAATTGAGATAGGCTTTGGGTCTGAGATGATGCTAGAGTTATTTGTGTTGGTGTTAGAGAAGGTATATTGTGAACCTGCCAGACGTTTCACACTGTTCACTTGAACTGCAATTTGTGTAGGTGCCTTTTGCAACCTCTAGCATAGTTTTCCTTTGCCTTCAGCTGTAGAGCACAGTTAGGTTCTGGAATCAGGGCCATCTGCCTGGCTTTGAATTTTGGTTCCACCAGCATCTTGAGCAAATTGCTTAATCTCTCTAAGCCCCATCTGGAAATTTGAGAAAATAATAGGATTGTCATGGGAATTAAATGAGATAAAACATTTAAAATGCTTGCCTCAGTTTCTGGCATGTAGTAGACATACAGAAATGCTGCTTGTTGTTACATTTTGGATTTAATCAAAGCTTCTTTGAAGCAAAATAATTTTAGAATGTGTACCATTCATTGGAAGCTGAGAATGAAAAATAAACCAGGAGGTGGGATTTTCTGAACAGTACACAACTCAACTGTGTGGCCTGAAACTGTTCTTTACTATGTCTTTAAACTCTTTCTTCAGTCTGTTTAGTTCTGTGGTGCTATCACTGGAACCTCACATATGACAGGATATCCATCCGTAATCTGGGCCAATCCGGTGGGGTTGTGTTAGCTTTGTCATTGTCATTGTCAGCTTTAATGCTGAGATCATATTCTTGTTATTGACTCAGCATTATTTTTCAGTGTTTATTAATCATGGGTCAGAGATGAGTAGGTGGGGAAGAATACAGGTTTACTTTTTGACAAGTTCTAGAATTTTGACTCAGGCTTAAGAATCATGAGCTAGATGACTTTGGGCCCCTTTACCTTTCTAAGTCTGTTACTTTCCTCATTAAGTAATCTTTTTAAAGCTTGTTTTTGCCTTTAAAATTGTATTAGAACAACTTGTCCTCTATGTGCATAATTATATTCACTTGAATAGGATATGGAATAGGATGTTGAATATATAAGATATCAAATGGGATATAGAATGGGATAGATACTTTGTCATTTAATTCTTTTACATCCGTCAGTCAGGCCTCCTTGGATTCTTACCTGCACTTGGATTTCAGCAACCAATTTAAGCTCTTCTCTGATGGCCTCGTTAGCTTTGTGTAAAGCTTGTCTGGCGATGACTTGTTTATGGCCTCAGTCTTTCAGGCACGGTTCCTCTTCTGAATTTTGGTAGCACTTGGTACATCCTCACCTGGGACAGCATTTAACATGTTGTACTGTGATTTTTTTTTCTTTTGTACTTTTCCCCCCGTCATAGGTTTTGAGTTCGTAATGGAATCACTTTGGTATCCTCCTTGACTTACATAACGTAATGCATGATATTCTCATTAGGATGACTGCATAACTGGGACTGTAGAACTCAGTGACCCATGAGAAGTAAGCAGAATCTAACTTGACGTCAGCTAATATCTTTTAAGAGTTGAAGACCCTCCAGTAGGAAGAATATGCAAAGAATTCAGAATAGAATCCAACAGTAAACAGATGTTTTGAATCCAGTCAAGGGGTGATGCAACCTGGAGGGAAAGTACAGATTCAGAATCAGACTTGAGAATTAGTGTAACTCAAAAACAAGGGACTTGGACTCTGAAATCATCGATTTGGGGCTTAGAGACATGACTAAGGAAACAGGGCTCTGTGTGTTCTCGGTGTTGTCAGGAAAACCACCCTAGATGTCTGGGAACTGGCATCCCTGCCAGCATTTTCAGGCACAGGCCCCTGAGAAGATAAACTTCAAAAATTCTCTTGGAGAATGAATAAGAAAATTTTTCAAGTTTTTAGGTAGTATTGGAATGCGTGCAAGAACCTTAGATTGACAGCACTTATGGTTTAGTTTGCTGGCTTCATTACAAGGTAAATATTTGGGAAGTCTTGTTTGTGATTAGACAATTGACATATTTAAAAATAAAATTGAATAGATTCTTTTGATAAAGGAATTAAAAATTTTAGAGCAACTTTTAAGTTTCAAAGGCTCACTTGAAATTGGTTAAAATTTAGCAGATTTACAAATAGAGTAGTAAGATCTGGTGGTTGACCTTAAAAGCCTGAAGGACTAGGCTTTTGAATGTAAAATTGTAAATTTGCTAGATCAGCTATTAGTCTTTAAAACCGAAATAGCCCATGAATAATGTTTTCTGTGCACAAAAACCATTTTTAATATGCCAGAAAATAAGTAGATGATGCCTAAGTCGATGACATTCTCTTGACTCTGTGAAAGCAGGCCATCATTTCTTTTCACTTTTTAAAGAATATATGCCTCAAAATAATAGCACTGCTTTTATGTACCCATGGCAGAATTGCTTGACGATTTATTATTACAGAGTAAAAAAACAAATGATCCCATGAGATTTTGAAATGACTTTCAGTTATGGCTTTGCCATCCCTTAATTATCTGAAACAAAGTAAACTAACTAAACAAAGTAAGCTATAAAGCCAGAGCCTTATAGCTCTGGCGGTCAGTTGAACAGAAGGCCACCAAAACACACCCCAGACACATCATGAATTCTTAGCCTTTTGTGCTCATTGGCAACCAAAGAATGGTTTCCAGATCTTAAGTCCGCCTCTGCCCTCTATCTTAGAAGATGGTCAGATGCTGTTTCTGCTTTGTTTGCTACATTTCCTGTGTTGCTGCAAATATCTGCTGGTGTCTGATTTCTTAAAGACACTCAAAATTCTCTTGCGCTAATGCCTTTCATGCTCCAATTTCAGTATGGTCCTTTGTAGTTGGCTCGTTTTGTGTCTCTACCATGACTGTGGTAATACATGAGCCGAAGTTAGTTTACCACAGGATTTATTCATATTATTCTAATTTTTAATGTGCTGCTACCAACTGTACATCATTAACATTTCCCACTTTATATTAAAAATAAAAGTATTTAAAAAATTAATTGAGTTTGGATTTTTTTCTCTCTGCTTGTGGTTGGTCTTTTAAAATGATGCCTTTTTGGTAAATGCCTTTTTTTTTTTTTTTTTTTTTAGCGTCATTCTTCCACTTCCTCAGAATGTGAAGGATTATTTACTCGACGATGGAACTCTGGTGGTTTCAGGAAGGTAAAGTATACCAGAAAAAATTCTTGAAACTTTATCATGAAGAAATGTTGTGGTGATTGAATCTCAGTGATTACCATGTAAAATAAATACATTAGCTTTGGAACCATTCTCTCCCGTTTTTTTTCCTAGCTAAAATTATGCCCTGGGCTTTGTCCTGTATTTCTTGTCAATGCTGAATTAATAAGATTCAGAATTGGGTACTTCCTCCTCTTGTAGTCACTGGTTATGAAATTGGGCAGTTCCTGTCATCTTTTCCTTGAGAAAATGGGTATGTTGATAACTCTACCCTCTGGAGGTAGGGAGAGGGTGTCAGGGGGAGGAGGGCATGGTATGATCCTTTGAGATCCTTCACCTTTTTTTTTTTTTTAAGTTTATTTAATCTCTGTACCGAGTGTGGGGCTCAAACTCATGACCCTGAGATCAAGAGTTGCATGCTCTTCTGACTGAGCCAGCCAGGTGTCCCAAAATACTTCAGCTCTTAAGATAAAAATTAATTGTCCATTACAAACAGACAGCTTCACTAGGTGTATCATGTAATTCCTTAACTTTTTCTTCCCCGTGGTTAACCCCGCCTCTACCTTCTCTGTTCATGTAGTTCCTCTGTTCATAAAGGGAAAACATTGCTATGCTTCAGTCTTTTTAGTGCAAACTTGAAGAAGTTTAAGAATCATAGAATTTAATGAAGTTCCTATTTTTTCATTCAGGTTTCTGCTCAGAGTTCATGTCACCCAAGTGCTCATCCCTCACGTGCCTTTCTAGAATAGCCTAACAGGAACCCTTGCTGTACTGTACTCCATTTTTGTAGGATTCTAGGTTGGAAATCATTTTCCCTTGGAATTATTACAAAATTTTTTTATTATGGTAAAATACACATAGCGCAAGATTTACTATCTTAATTATCTTTTAAGTATACAGCTCAGTGGTACTAAGTACATTTATAATGTTGTGCAACCATCACCACCGTCCACCTCCAGAGCTCTGTCCATCTTGTAACAAAGCCGAAACTCGGTCCCCGTGGAAACACTGACTCCCCATTCCTCCTCCCACTAGCCCCTGGCCACCACCATTCTACTTTCTGTGCCTGTGATTTTGAGTACTCTCAGTACCTCGTATGAGTGGACGTGTGCAGTATTTGTCCTTTTATGACCAGCTTTATTTCACCAGCATGATATCATCGGGGTTTGTCCATGTTATGGTGTGTGTCAGTTTCCTTCCTTTTAGGCTGAATACTGTTCCATGGTATGAGTGGGCACATTTTGGTGCCTTACTCTTCACCCCCTTGCCTCAACTTCATTTTTCTGCATAATACTTCTTTCTATCTGACATAATTCCCATAACTGTCCAGGTCTTAGAATGCCACTTCATGAAACTGGGACTTGGACAGTTTTGTTCCTAGCTCTTGGAGCAGTGCCTGACACATAAGAGGTGCCTGATAAGACATTTGTTGGATGAAGGAACTTAGAAATGTAATTAGAATTGTATGTGTTTTCAATAACACTAATTTTTTTAAAGATGTATTTTTATTTTAGAGAGTGCGTGAGTGGGGGGGCAGAGGGAGAGGGGGAGAGAGTCTTAAACAGACTTCACGTTGAGCAGAGAGCCTGATGTTGGCCTTGATCTCACGACCCTGAAATTATGACCTGAGCTGAAATCAAGAGTCAGATGCTTATCCAGCTGAGCCACCCAGGCGCCAGACAGTAATGCTAATTTTAAAACCCTGCCCCCTTTTCTTGTCATGCATTTTCTGTGTAGCTTTCTGGATTATATTTCTGTTTTTGGTATTCTCAGCCTCATAATAACTTGAAAATTATTAATGGAGAGCCTCATTAACTTGGAATAATTGCAGGATAAGGAAACAGAATAGTCAGCCAAGACTCAACTTGGGGATACTTAAAGACATAATTTTATTCTCAAATATAGAACAATAATGAGGTCATATAAATGGGTCTATAAAGAAAATAATTTCTAACATTAGAAAGTACTGTAAGCATACTGAAGAGCCCCTGTGGTGGTTTTCATTGGCCAGATGTTTGTGGGAGCTTGTGGCCGGTCCTGTTAAATACTGTTGAACAGCTCTGTGGGGCGCTCTGCTTCACGGGGATGCACCGATCAGAGAGGGGCCCCGCCCTTTTGGAGTTGATGGTTCAGCCTCCTATTTTGTGGGAGTTGATACAGCATAGTGCTGGTCCTCCAGTCCCACTGCCTACTGTCAGATCATATCTTCGTAATTTCTCGTGTTCTGTGCCTCATTTTCTCTGTCTGTCTGTAAATGGGGTGACTGATGTCCTAGAACTTACCTTGGGTTGTCACATAGATGAAAAGAGATCATGTGTAAAATGTCTCACCCAATACTGTTATTGTATGCTATTAGGAAGCATTAACTGCACTCACCATCATCATGGATCTCAGTCTGAATATTAAACAAGCACACCAGTAAAGGTGTAAGTGGAAATTGTGATGAGACATTAAATCACTGGGGGTGGGCTGGCTAAGGATTGCAGGGAATACCTGGAAGAAGTAACTTAAAAGAGTCTCTGAGACAGGAAGTTTGGGTGGAAGGTAGTCAGGTGATGGGTGGAGGGAGGAATCTTCAGGCTGAGGGAACAGCATTAAGGAGGGCTCTGAGGCGTGGAAGGTCTTGACCTGCAGGACACTACAAGGGGGTCATGTGGCTGGAGTGTGGAGGGCTGAATGGTGAATAGTTGGTTGCTGCCATGGGAGAGGTAGTAAGAGGGTGTGTGGGAGTCCTGTTAAAGATCCTAGAATGTATTCTGAGGTCAGTGGGAATGCATTGAAGAGCTCTGAGCAAGAGAGTGACTTGAGCAGATTTCAGGTTTTGCACTAGGACCGGTTGCCATGTAGATATTGAAGACCAGTTAGGGGGATACTGCATTGGATCCAATGTGAACTGACAGTGGCTTGAACTATGGTGGTGACCCTGGAGGGGGAGAAGTGAATGGATTTGAGATGTCTTGGAGCTGCACCTTTAGAACCTGGTGACAGAGAAGGAGGTGGTAAGAATCACCCTCTCATTTCCTGCTGAACAGCTAGATGAATGAAGATGTCATTTGCTCAGGCTGAGAAAAGCCTTTGGTTTGAAAAGGGTAGTAATTTTTTAAAATTAATTAATTTATGATTTTATTAATAAGAGATTTTATTAATAAGAGAGAGCGAATGAGAGCAAGCAGGGGGAGTGGCAGGCAGAGGGAGAAACAGGCTCCCCACTGAGCAGGGAGGCCGATGCAGGACTCGATCCCAGGACCCCGGGATCGTGACCTGAGCCAAAGGCAGACGCTTAACCGACTGAGCTACCCAGGCATCCCTGAAAAGGGGAGGAATTTTAGGTTGGATTCCTTTTTTAGGTAAAAACTTGAAAATTATAGGTGTAATTTAAATGAGGGACATTTACAAAATGCACAGATCCTGAGTGTAACTTTTGGTGAGTTTTGGTGAATACATACACCTGTTTCATCACCTCCTCCATGAAAAATACCAAACATTTCTATTCCCCAGGAAAATCCCTGCTGTCCCTTTTTGGCCAATGCTGCCTACCTCCCCCGCCCCACCCCAGACAAACACTGATCTGATTTACATCTTCATACCTTAGTTCTGCCAGTTCTAGGACTTCATGTTAAGTGAAATTGTATAATATGTATTTTGTGTCTGGGTGCTTTAACTCCACGCGATGCTTTAGGGATTCATCTGTGTTGCTGTGTTTCATTGCTAAGTAGCTTTCTTCAAATGCATCTTCTTTTTCTTTTAGAGATTTTATTTTTAAGTAATCTCTACTTACTGGAACTTAAAACCCTGAGATCAAGAGTCCTATGCTCCACCGGCTGAGCCCGCCAGGTGCCCCCAAATGTGTGTTTTTAAAGCTCAGTGTTTGTGGGCTTGGTTGTGTGTCCCTCGTAGTATAGTCCTTGCTATCCTAATTGTGTTTTTTCTTAGAGTCAATGGTATTTCATTTCATTTTATATTATTTTATTTTTTTACTTATGAATATTTATTTTTTTAAGTTTTTATTCAAATTCCTGTTATCGTACAGAGTAATATTAGTTTTAGGTGTGTAGTGTAGTGATTCAACACTTCATACACCCCCAGTGCCCATCGTGACAAGTGCACGCACGCCTCCATCCCCATCACCTAGTTCGGCCACCCCCACCCACCGCCCCTCTGGTAACCATCAGTTTGTTCTCTGTTGTTAAGAGTCTGTTTCTTGAAAAAAGGTGGTTAGATGCCTCGAAGTAGGTGGCAGTGCCTTAACCATATGTGTGTTGTTAGCCTGAGAGTCTCTTCCATCCTTGTAAAGGGGAGTGCTAACCTTCTCTCAGTTCATACAACACTTGCTGTCTTAATCTGTTTGACCTTCCAGTGAAGAGTGGGTGAATAAAAAAATAAGATGAGAAGACCCTATGGAGCTTCAATTTACCCAAAAATAATGTCATTTAACCTAATCTAAGCGGATATTGGTTAACAGTTTTGGTTGGGGTGACCTTGGAGAACAAAACAACCTCCAAGTGATTAAAATCTAGACTCACTAGTCACACTATCAGTCATCACTTATTGATCCAAGGTATTGATCAACAGAACAAGTTACCCTACAGATAACAGCACAATCCTATTCTAGAGTTCATATCAGCAATAGGACTCAGGGCCTTGGATCAGGACATCCTAATGGTTTCCATTTGTTCAGCAATTAAAGTCCTACATGATCTGGGTTCAGGCCAGAGTAATCCAGGTTGGTTTCTATCAGTAATTTCTCCCTGAGTTCAGATAGTAACAGGTGAATGAGTGTGTATTTAAAATATTATTTATAGAGTACCATAACTGCATCTATTAATATGTGAACATTTTAGCTCCTTTGTATGGAATATTTCCCTGCATCAAAGAATACAGTATTATAGTTACAGATATACAGATAAATAGAGTGGAGTTAATGAACTAGAGTTACTGAATATTCTTTTTATTGTGAGTGGGCCAGTAGTGAACTACTCGTTATTTGTAGATACTGAGATAGATCAATTAGGCATCTTTCCTTAGCGTAGACTCTGGGACTATGTATGATTTGGTTTTGTTTGGTAAGATAAATTCTGAAATGGTAGGGAGTGGGAGCAATATGAATGCTCAGAAATTCCATCATGTGTAAAATTGCCCCCACCTCATTTTTAATTATCAAAGTAATACTTCCTCATTATGGTAAACTTGAAAACCACAAAAATATAAAGAAACAGAAAAAAATCACTTATAGTTCCACCACCTTAAAAGCAAATGCCGTTCAAATATTGGCACATCTTCTCCAGTCTTTTTAAATATGTTTTTAGTCTAAGTTAAAAGCATACTACGTGTATGACTTTTTATTCTTTTATCATTGAAACCATAGCATAATTTTTCCATCTTTAAAATGGAAAATTTTTAAGATTATTTTTAATAACTGCTTAATTTTCATGTTTATGTACTTGTTATTACTGATCTAATTTCATAGTTGTTGGACATTTAGGTCATTTACAGCTTTACTGAAAAATAATTTTTCAGTGAACATATTTTTGCATGGAACACTGGGATTATTTCTGTGCAATAAGAATCCCAGGCCCTAGTCACAGGGCAAAGGTTATAAAAAAATTTTAAGACTCTTGACCAGGGGACGCCTGGGTGGCTGTCAGTTAAGCATCTGCCTTCGGTTCAGGTCATGATCCCAGGGTCCTGGGATCCAGCCCTGCATCAGGCTCCCTGCTCAGCAGAAGTCTGCTTCTGCCTCTCCCTCTGCCCTTTCCCCTGCTCGTGCCCCCGTTCTCTCTCTCAAATAAATAAATAGAATCTTAAAAAAAAAAACGACTTTTGACCAGTATTGCCAAATAGCTTTCACTAACCATTGTACCAGTTTATGCTCTCAACACTAATGTATTAGGGTCCTTATCTCAGAAAGTGAAATTCTTAATTAAATGCTTTCCTCTAGGTTTCCAAGTTATACACGTGATCGAATTTCTAAGTTACAAAGAAATTAAAAGGCAGACCAAGGGGGCACCTGGGTGGCTCAGTCGTTAAGTGTCTGCCTTCGGCTCGGGTCATGATCCCAGGGTCCTGGGATCGAGCCCCGCATCGGGCTCCCTGCTCCGCGGGAAGCCTGCTTCTCCCTCTCCCACTCCCCCTGCTTGTGTTCCCTCTCTCGCTGTGTCTCTCTCTGTCAAATAAATAAATAAAATCTTTTTCTTTTTAAAAAAAAAAGGCAGACCAAGCCTCTGAATATAATTTCTTCAGTTTCATCTCCCATGTAGTGAATGTGGCCTTTTATCACCTTAACCTGCCATCCAGCACTCCCTGTGTTTGCTCCCTGGGTCAATTGGGGTGATTTTGGTCTCAAGTAATAGAATATCTGCTGTGCTCCAAGTGTTTTGTGTGGCCCCTAAATTCATATGTTGAATTCCTAACCCCCAAAGATATTGGTATTAGAAGGCGGGATCTTTGGGAGGTGATAAGTTCATGAGGGCGGAGGCTTCATTGAATGGTCTTTATGCCCTAATAAAAGGTGCCCCAGGGAACTCCCTTGTCCCTTCTGCCATGTAAGGACACAGCAAGAAGGTGGCCAGACCCTAGAAGAGGGCTGTCACCAGCACCTGACCCTGCTGGCACCCTGATCTTGGACTTCTAGGCTCCAGAACTGTGAGACACAAATTCCTGTTTATACCTGGTGTATGTTATTTTGTTAGAGTAGCCCAGACAGACTAAGACAATATCCGGTTTTAAACATGGCTTAAATAAGGAGGCAAATAACTTATTTCATAAGAAGCCCTAAGGCATGACAGTTATGGGAAAGTATAGTAGTTCAGGGATGCTAGGACTCAAAATCAGCTTCTCTGAATTTCCCGGTTTTCCCCTCCAGTGTCCAGGGTCTCCATAGTCGGTTCAAGGATCATGTCCTCACACTATCCTATCCAGAGATCCTGTTTCATGTCCCTCTTTAAGAGCAGGACAAACTTTCTCAGGAGCTCTCTTACCCTTGTTGGTCAGGGGCGGGTCCCTCGCGGGCAAGGGAGATGGAATAGCCATGAGTGGTAGTAGATTAGTCGGTATGTACTGTCGTGGCTGGGGGAGAAGTCCGTAAGGCACAGAGCACTTAGTGTCTGAACACATTGGAGGTTTTATTAACAGAGAAATGGGGAAGTGGCTGTTGGGGTTTGCCATGGCTCTCGATTCTTCATGCCTAATCTCCTATTACCTCCACATAGAGGACATTTTTTTTCACTCCAGACTTTCAGTTCTATAAGGTATCTTGTTTACACTTATAACTTAAAATAGAGTCTGTGCTCACTAAGTATTTGTTGAATGAGTGAATGAATGAAGATGATTACTTCACTCTTTTCCATGGCGGCCTAAATGGAGTCAGATGAATAGTACAGACCAAGGATGATAACTGGATTTATCTTGTTTGCCAGCTCGGATCTACTGGTAATGGTTTTTTGGAGTGGTGTGTTGAGAAGGGTTCTGAGGTTGTATCCAGGGTTCAATGAGAAAGAGTGCTTGATTCAATTATTATTGCCTACAGTGGGTATGGGAAAAGAGGTTGGTAGCATGCATTTCTGGTATAGATGGTGATTCATTTTATTGCACATTATTGGGTGTGTCCCACCCTCATGAGATGGGTGCTGAGTGTGCTACAGAAATAACAAGATGGGTGGGATATCCTACCTGGGGAGTCCCTGTTTGTAGCCAAGTCAAAGATGTAAATAAATAGAAGCTGTTTTTTTTTGTTTTTGGAATAAAAGCATCCGTTATTCTGATAATGTTTTTGAAGTTTAAATAATCAGTGGGGTGATTGAGGAAGTTTTTATGGTAGAGATGATACTGGAACTGGGCTCACAGGTTGGATCTGACTCAGGTGGTCTGACTCACTGCTTCCAGGAACTAATCTTTACTTGTCCCTTTCTGATCCCGAGTTTGTTCTTTCCTGACCTGTCTCCCTTAAGGCAGAATAATAATGGCCGCCAGCTATAAAACCCATGTTAGGTATGTTCATGATTTGAATCTTCATGACCGTAGAACTGCTGCCACGATCCTGGTTTTATAGATGGGATAATGGGGCACAGCTCTTGACTGATTAGTGATGGAATGGACACACCCAAGCTCTGTCTGCCTCCAAAGCCAGTGCTCTTAAGGTTTCCCATTGCTCTTAATGTTTCAGCTTTGTGCGAATGTGATACAGGAAATGTAGAATACTTTCAATATTAGCATCATACTTTAGCCCATTCAGTCCTCAGTTTTCAGAGATATACCTTAGAAAGCTGGTCTAGTAAACTTGCAAATTTATACTCTCCATCACTTATGGTGACCAGGTTTTGGGACATACCTCACAGTGGGCACTGCAATAAATTCTTCTGAAGAACTATATAGATACACTGGCTATAAATATGATTTTAAAAATGTATTTCATTATACTAACAAAGTGATACATTTTCAAGTTCATTGAGTACCTTTTGTATTGTAAGGTTAAATAAGCCATATTAAAGATAACCGTGTTGTATTTAAAAATATATGGTATTGGTGTGGGAGGGATGGGGTGGCTGAGTGATAGGCATTGGGGGAGGGTATGTGCTATGGTGAGTGCTGTGAATTTTGTAAGACTGTTGAATCACAGACCTGTACCTCTGAAACAAATAATACATTATATGTTAAAAAAAAAAAAAAGAAGAAGACAGCAGGAAGGGAAAAATGAAGGGGGGGAATCGGAAGGGCAGACGAACCATGAGAGACTATGGACTCTGAGAAACAAACTGAGGGTTCTAGAGGGGAGGGGGTTGGGGGAGGAGTTAGCCTGGTGGTGGGTATTAAGGAGGGCACGTACTACATGGAGCATTGAGTGTTATACACAAACAGTGAATCATGGATCACTACATCAAAAACTAATGATGTAATGTATGGTGATTAATATAACATAGTAAAAAAATAAAAATAAATAAAAATAAAAAACATGTGGTATTTAAAGAAAGATGCAAGAGAAAGAAAGGCTACCTTCTTGGACAGGGATTCACAAGTGACAGTGTGTTAGTATTATCACAGTGTCTGGTTCTTAGCTTCATGGATCTGGCAAGTCAGTTCTTTAGGAGTGCAAAGGGTTGATAAAAATTTAGGAACTGGGGTGCCTGGTTGGCTTAGTCGGTACAGCGTGCAGCTCTTGATCTCAGGGTTGTGAGTTCAAGCCCCACATTGGGTGTAGAGATTACTTTAAAAAAAAGAAAATTTAGGGAACTAATTGTTATATGTTAACCAAAATTACACCAGATTGATTAATTGAATGATTGACAAGTCGGGGTGTCAATTTCTTGATTTATAGAGGAGGATATGCCTTTCC